GTGCTTATTACCTGATTGATGTTTGTTAAGAATACTCAATGCAAAACCATTTTTCATCTTTTTATGTAAAACTTATTTTCTCACTCACGTTGCGCAAATTCAAATGGGGATTGCTGTGTAGTTGGTCGTTAGTTTTTTACAAGACCGATTATTATAATCGCACTAAGACTCAATGGTAATGACTTCTGGATTGCCTGTAAGCACTTTTTAATTCGCCTTCCGTTTTACCAGTTATGATAAGGCATCTTGCAATTACTTTCTTATTTCTGTTCTGTGGCATTTTCTTTTTCTTTTGTTCTATGTCGTGAAAAACAACAACAATAAACTGTTTTTGATTTCACACACATATGTATGTATCCTGTAATGTATGAAGTTTGTACTACGCACTAGTCTATTTCTTTAAGGAGTTATTATTGGCGCAAGTTGGTGACTGATATGGCCTGAGTTTCTGCTGCCCGGTGATGTGTGCTGGATAATAATGGGTAAATAATAGACAAGTAAAGAAGGCAAAGCAAGGGGAGGAAGGGGGAAGATAAGGTAAAGAGGAGGAGGTGGGAGACCTGAAGCAGGTGGGCGAAATCCTTGCATTAATTTTCTTTTCTTATGTCTAGATCATAGTCATGGTAGCGGAAGGGCAAGCCAGGTGAACTCCAGCTAAGACTAATGAACAACAGACGAAAAGTCAACAGTTTTATTTTATCTATTCTTTATCTCGTTCTATCTCATCTTTATTCATATATATCTTTTGAAATCTAAAAGTCTACATAACAGTGAATCAAAAATGAAGAAACGAGAAAAGTTTTTACTGATTTCTATTTTTTGAACATTTTTTTTCTTATTTGTCTTTAAGTGGATAAAACAATTAACTATTTCATTCTTTCATCTTATTAATCTATTTACTCATTTATTATTATTACTATTTAACTAAGTGCGGGTAAAAGAAAAAAGGTCATAAATAGAATTGAACTTATAACGGATATTGAACGGAACGAAAACGTTACTATACAGTGGCAAAGAAGAGCAATTGGTGAAGGTGAGGCAGACAGGTGAGGTCCCTAGGTAAGAAATATAGGATTTTGAGCAAAGGACGAATCAAGTGGTAGATTGTGTTGTCTTTAGGGGCTGCTGAACGGCTGTGTCATCTCGGTCTGACGGATGCAAGGTGTGGGAGGGAGTCCAACGTGGAGCAGGTATAAAATAAGTACTGTTGATAGATTAGTTGCAAAGATGCATGTGTAACTGCGTGTCTGTGTGCTTGCAAGTAGGCCACGTGTATGCAGGCATAAGAACATCTTCCTTTTCTCCCTCTTCTATTTTCTTCCTAGCTCTCCACCTCCTCTCTAGTCCTCTCTTTCCTTCATATATATTTTATTCCCCATCCCTCCCTTTATGTCCATTAAGTCACGAATGAATCACCCGCATTTCCTGTTTTTCCTTAATCGTTTTATATACTTTCATGAGAGCGAGAAAAAACAGTAAAAAGATTAAGGGATACGAAATAAGATAAGCGTACACCTGTTTACCAACATACACAAATACAGATGACATGTATATTGCATATATACACACTCAGAGACGATACCTATCTTTGTCACCTTTTTTGCTTGGTTCTTATCGCATAGCCAGTGAGGACACCTGGGTTTATCATAAGGTTAAGGGCTCTCTAAAGCGTTAAGATTAGCACTGCAAATGGTTTAAATATGGGGCCCTTTTCTGTAACAAAGTGGCGTCAAAATCTCATAGCGGCGCGAGATAAAAGGAAGGAAATGTGGGTTAATGATAAGACAAAACAAGCATCTGAGATTAAAGATCCTTCGACTTCCTGACTCACGATTCATGGCAGTTAATTTGTCGTACTCTAAAGCTCGGCGCTTTTGAGTCCTTGAGGCTTGTCACCAGCATAATGTTACCGTGCACTTTCCGCAATGTACAACGTATTCTTGGCGCGCACCGTGGACTTCATAGAACAAGATCACGCGCGGTTAATCTGTATTCGCGCGGTGAACACTGACCAATCACAGTATTGCATTATCTTGCCTCCGCTCACCAGAAGAGAAAGAAGAAGGCCTCAAAAAAGCCGATGGACTCTACGAAGGTTTGCAAGAAAGCAACCGTCGACGCTATCTTCACACAACCTTTATTAGTAATCTATAACAAGCTATGTGCTTGGACTTGCTATTATAGTAAAATATATTAAGATAAAACACCAAGAAATAATGGGCACCCGCTAGTTTGTACACATTTGTAGAAAATACATGATAGACTTGTTGAATCCGAAGAGTACACGATGTGCTCGAGAGGCCTTTTAAACTACATGAATGTTATTAGCCTAATTGATACCAATATTTCTTCCGAAACGGCGAACGCGCGCACTGACTAAACAACTACACAGATTTTAGTTTATGCATATCTATCTGGCTATCTATATGCATATACATTATATATATGCATATACATACAACAATATATTCATGTGTATATGAACACAGATATACACATACACACATATATGATTATGTATATATATATATATATATATATATATATATATATATATATATATATATATATTTTATATATATATGTATATATATGTGTGTGTGTGTATGTGTGTATGTGTTTGTGTGTGTATGTGCTTGAGTGTGTGTGTATTGTATATATGTATACATACATTGTTTGTGAGTAATTATTAATGTATATTACTTGCATCCGCAATTATAGTATTTGTATCAATAATGCGTAACTAAATATGTAGTAAATACAAAACATGAAGTTTCATGACATCCAATTTAATTCTAATAGATCAAGGGCTATTTTGTATTAAGTGTACACTAGAATAAGTTCCTGTATAATCGGTTTCAAAAGATATTTGTCAAAATTAAAAGTTCATCTGATTCACGATCAAGATACGAGAAAGGCCCTCACACAACCACCTTTTTCATCAACTTTCACGTTTCCGGATGAACTTTCCGTATGGAAATGGACTGGCCCTGTCAGACTACCAAGGTCGCAAACATAGTGTTCCTTTTAACAAACATGGCGCCATCTGAGTCAGGTCCTGGGAATCACACGAGCATTTTCATACATATGTTAATTAAAGAAATATCATTATGTATTTAGAAACATGCTAGAATATCAACTTATGTATGCATTAACTTATTCTATCTAATTTATTAATATTCTTTTTTGTATGGATCGTAGCACAAGATCAAGACGAAAATTAGTCCGACGGAAACGGACTCCATCTGGGAGGAGTTCCGTTTGCAAACGATACATATGAATAGCCTCATACGGAAACGCAAAAATTGACGGTAGAGGTATAGTGTGATAGGGCCTTTAATTAAAGGTTTCTTGCAATACATGAAAACATCGCTTTCTGATCAGATTCTGTCCCTGAAAGCAACCGGCGCTCACGGACTGCCAGCGAGCGTGAGATCATGAGCGGTGCTGGGAACATGTTCACACAGAGGGCTCCTGACGCCCAGGCAGTCCTCGTCGCTAATGTAGAAGTAGTGGCGGAAGGTGACGGCGGCGCAGAGCTGCTGGGAGTCGCGCCGCGGCGCCTGCTCGTAGTGGTAGCAGGCCGAAGTGTTGGTCCAGTAGGCGACGTCTTCAGGCTTGGCGTGTGGCGCCGACTCCTGCTGGCGGCTGCTGCAGCTGTTGGTGTGTCTGCGGGGGAAAGAAACGCCACTGTAGTGTGTAATAAAATGACGTAGGTTCACTTACCCTCATTTTCATTTATTCACATCTGCGCACATTTAACTCTATGAATTTCGGAAATGTGTTATTTGATGACGTGTAAGACATTTATTACTATTGTATTTGGAAATTCAATTTCTTCAAAAAAAAAAAAAAAAAAAAAAAAAAAATGGAAATCGTCTCATGTAACGTAGACATCAAAATCGACATATTTTCTATTCTAGTTATTGTTGACAGCTGAAAATGAAGGATCAATTTTCTTAGCGATCGAGTGAATAAATCAATTCCTAGAAAATATCTTATAAGAGAAGAGGAAAGAAAAAAATTTCGCACGGTCATGTACATGTATATGTGTACGTGTATGCGCGTATATGATGAACTACATAACAAATTCCATAAATGGAAGATAAAACAATACACCTCTAAAATAATGAGAAACCTGGAAAGCTGAAAGTCCAGTGACCTCCAGCAACTGTGAAGGTGACCCTGCCTCACCTGACGGCCCAGTAGGGCGAGCCGAGGTCCATCGGGGCGTCGTCCAGCCACGTCCAGGCCTCGGTGTCCTTCGTGTACCGGCCTCCCACCCAGAAGTCCGTCGTCATCCCTGTTGTAGTCGAAAGGATTATTTTCTTACCCTGGCAGAATAATGGTTATTCATAGCTATAGGCATATGGTATGTGTACCTCTGTACAGGTATACATACACCCGTACATGCAAACTGTTTTCAAACACAGATACACAGAGACATACATATTTGTAGATATGCATGTATGTATATATAAATATGTATATATAGAGATATATACATATATACAAATTCATACATTCATATGCACGTATATGTATGTTTTTTTTATGTGTATGTGTTTGTGAGTGTGTGTGTATGTGCTGTATACACATGTACACACACGCATACACATGCATATGTGTATATACATATGTGTATCTATATATACAGATATATATAAGTATATATATATACATAATAATATGTGTATGTGTATATATGTGTATAAACACGAAATATGATGATAACGGGAATTAGCTTCGAGCAAAGCGATAGAGTTGGACGTAGTTTTTTTCAGTTGTGTATATGTATAGATTGGGAGTGAGAATAAATGAGTGAATACACATATAATACCTGAAAACTAGTGTATATGTGTGCATTCTTGTGTATAATGCATATATGATAAAATATATAAATATTAGATATATGCTTTTAAAATTACACATACATACACACACACGCTCACACACACACACACACCCACACACACACATATAAATATATATATATATAAATATATATATACATATATATGTATGCATATATATATATATCATATACATATATATATACATATATATACATATACGTATATCTGTATATCTCTATATATATTGTATATGTATATATACGCCTATATATATATATATATATATATATATATATATATATATATATTATATATATATATATATATATTACATATATGCATAAATATATATGTATATATATATATATATATATATATATATATTATATATATTATATGTGTGTGTGTGTTGTGTGTGTTGTGTGTGTGTGTGTGTGTGTGTGTATACATAACACACACACACACACACACACACACACACACACACACACACACACACACACACACACACATATATATATATATATATATAATATATATATACATATACACGTATATGTGTGTATATGTATATATATATATATATAATATATATATATATTTTATACGTATTTGTGTTCATATTAGATCACTTCATATATACATAGTATATATATATATTTACATTATATAATATGTATATATATATGTATATACATATATACATACATATATATATATATAATATATATATATATATATATAATATATACGTATATGTGTATATGTATATATATTACGGATATACGTGTATACTTAAAGGGGAAAGATTTGTCTTCATATCTATATCGCTTCATACGTACATAGTATAAAGTCCCATTAACAAAACAGCGAGGCACTCACCTATCCCGCAGGTACTTCAGGAGGGCAGCGAACTCCCCGTCGGAGGCCGAAGGATAGACAACCAGCTCCCCGCCGATGGCCGAGCACAGGGCCCTTGCCTCCCCCACCTACAGAAGGCGGTGAAGGAAGGTGAGGAGGACACATTGGTCGCGAAATTCGGTGACGACCATGTCCAAGTATTTGGTATATTGGTACCCGTTTATTTGCAGTGCCAATTTACTCCGCGTTTTGTCTACGTTCTCTGATCTACGTTCTACAAAAAAAAGTTAGTTTCTGAGACAATAATGTCCCAACAGACGCCTTACCTTGACGAAGTAGAGGAGGGAGAGGCACTTGTTCCCGACGCTGGTGTAGAGCTTGGGGCATCTCGGGTGGTGGAGCGTGTCGTTGAAGGTCCGAGCGAACCTCTGACCCAGCGCCTCGCTCTCCTCCACGTTGTTGGGCGGGGGAGGGGTGGGGGCGGGCGTCGCTTAAAGGGCGGAGACGTTATTCTAAGCAAGATTTTTCCCCATTTATCAAATGGTTTTCAAATTTCTTTTATTAATTTCAGAATAATAAGGTTCACGGTCATAAGAACCAATATAATTTTTCCATGATACATACATGCATATATATTTTGTGTGCATTATATGTATATATAAAATTCTTATTAGCATATTGATTTTGGTTTTGCAATTCTGATGAAAGAGCGGAAAAACTAGAAAAATTGCTTTACAATGTGACTTGCTTTTCGTTTTACCTGCTTAAATACGTGTGTGTATATATATAAGGTTATGCATATATATATATATATATATATATATATATATATATATATATATATATATATATATATATATGTATGTGTTTATATGGATGCATGTATATCTATATCTACTTCCACATGCACACACACACACACACACATATCTGTGTGTACATATGCATGGACATATATATGTACATACATAGATATACATATATACACATACAAGTATCTATATACCTCATGTGTATTTCTATTTAATGATATTTCATTAACCACGAATTTGGGTTATGCAGGACTTTCTGCTCTCATTTTCTTGCCTAGAAATGCGTATTGAGAAAGAAAACTGCTTCCACGTGTATTTATATTCATTGAAGTCTCCCAGTCATGTTTATTAATTTAATCTCATTAATTACGAACATTGAGCCATTTCTTTATTCTCCATACTCACTGGTTGTTGTGGTGGTTGTGGTAGTAGTGGTCGTTGTGGTAGAAGGAAATCCTCTTAGCCTTCTTCCCTAAAATAACAGCGAATTTCGAATTATCTTCTTAGATAGGAAGGAAAAAAAATGTCTACCGTTCTTGCATTCCTTTTTCCGTTAGCGAATCATTTAGCTCTATCCATTGTACTTCATCAAAGCCAATATTACAGTCACTTACGATGCAGATGTCTTCGTCTGAATTGTCATTGCAGTCCCTGTAGCCATTACAAAGAGATGTCTTCTCAATGCAGCTGTCCGTTGTAGCGCAATAAATGGAGCTACTATACCCGCAATAGACGTAGGCTGAAGCTATCAAAATAATGATAATAATGGTTGAACATCAATATCATTATTGATGATTTCGATAATGCTAAATATGTTGTTTTTTCATGATGAGAAGTACAAGTAACAAGTGACACAAATATCAAATGGGTAATAAAATATAATTGATAAAAATGTGGATTTTCTACAATGGGCAGAAATCGATCTCAGGGTATTTTGTAATGCCCAGTGCGTTGCGTAAGTAATCACGGATCATAAGTACCCTTGTAAATGGCTTTACATGTGAGCTTAGTCAGAACATTTGGAATGGTTAGGTATCCTATTTATCAGTGCCTATATGTTTATCTCTAGAATCTACATAAGCTAATCACAGTAACATGTGCATGGCTACTACATGTGCTACGTAACCAGAAACGACGCAAACATCAGGCAGCCTTGACCCCACCTCCGCTACTATTAATGCCAAGCACCATCAAGAACCTGACGACCTTCAGCGGAAAGCAATGCATCTTCACGGGGATTTTGCCAAAGGATGCACAGGACCTGAAATTATATAGAAATTGGAGACGAAGGCTTGTCCGGCTGTTGTCTTTAAAGTGCTTTATATTGCCTTCAGTTTTGTTGGCTATTATAGAAATATCATATATATATACATATATATAAAACACGCACACAGAGACATATTTGTATATTGTAAATGTGCAGAAATATGTACCGTAGATATACATATGCATACGTAGATATACATGTTTAAGTGAATCCATACACACAAACATACATAAATACATCTGTATACATACATACATATATATATTGTGTATATATTTGCACACATATGCACATGTATATACATGTATATATATACATATATATGTGAGTGTGTGTATGTGTATATGCACACACAAATCTACACACACACATAAATGAATGCAGTACACACACATACATGAATACAGCACACACACATATATATACATTTATGTATATATATGTATACCAACACACACACAAATATATGTGTATTCAAATGTATACGGTTTTATACGTCTTTCCTATTGAACGCGATGGGAAAAGAGCCGAATTCACTACCTGCCAATGAAATTTTGCAGGCAAGACGCAGCAGTCACTGGCGCGAGCGATGGACGAACTGTTGCCTCAGCTGGGGTCTGGTCGCCACTGATCGCCACGGCGCACATGGCGGGTTGTGGTGCCAGTGTCCGGCCTCGGGCTTGCACCACGACTGGTGGCCTCGGAGGTTGACTGTACCCGCAAACGACGTCGTATCTTCGAAACGTCAAGCCACCAGTGATGGGCGTTTATCTCCCGCTGTAATGTTTCGCGTCAGAGCTATTTCTGTCTTGATTCTGAGTCTCTTTTTTGCTTTTACGTAATTACTTATTCATCATTCACATATGTGTTACATAAACATCTTTTTGTTTACACATGTTTGTGTATATTCATGTATATGTTTAAATGATATATATATAAATAGATAAATAAGAGAATATAGAGAATGTTTATATGCATAAATATGCATATGTATGTGTGCATGTGTAAACACACACACACACATGTATCTGTACGCACACACACGTGCGCATATATGTATGTATAAATACATACATATGGATATATTCTTATATGCACACACATACACGCATATATATGCACACAAGTGTGCAGACATATGCATACATAAATGAATATGAATATATATAAACTAATGTTCATAGAAATAAATATATACATAGATATTTATCCATACACATATACATGTACATATACACACACACATATATGTACATACATATAAAAAAATATGTATATATCTTGAGATATATATATGGAAATATATAAGCATATATATGTATATATATCCATAACACATATACATGTATATATATAGCGTATATTTATACACAAAAAAACACACACACACATACAAACATGTATATATACATAGATATCTATACACACATATATATATATGTATATATATATTCATAAATTATACATATATACATGCATACAAACATACATGCATATCTATATATACATATATGTATATATGAACAATAGCATTTCAGTTTATTTTCCACTGCAGGATTTTGAGAAGTGTGGCAGTATCATCCTTATCTGTTTCAATGCCTATCCTAATGAACACACGTGTGCATATAACATATATAATACACACACACACACACATATATATACAGACATGTTTGTGTATGTATGAGAAAGATAAAAAAATCCCTTAAGGTGCGTTCTTTTCTTGTCATTTTCGATTTCCCTTTTGAGTTAGGCTTTTCATATTAACACATTTTATTCTTGTCTGCGGGACATTTTGCAGTTCATTGTATAGAAGCAAACTAGCCGAATAATCTAATATTCAAGAGTGAAAAACGGAAGAAATAATTTGAAAATGACTGAAAAGTAGTCTGGAGCAAGATTCGTTTTTCATGATAAAATGGGATTTTTCATTCAATTTTTGAAGAGAAGGTTTGTGTGTCAAGTACGCTATCCCTTCCCTTTCTTCACGCTCGATTTCCTTTCAGTGATTATGAGCATAATCTAAAGAATTTTCGAAAGCAAACTCTTGGTTATATATCACCTTGTATGGAACAGTCAAATTCTGAAATAAGAGGATAGCTCTAAGCAATATGGAGTAATGTAATGCTAAAAAAAAATTTCTTCAAAAAAAAAAACAAAAAAAAAAACAGTGTAGCTTTAAGAAATGAGCCTCCTATTTCTTGTTTAAAAAAACACCATGTGTTAATAGATGACAGCAAAAGAGAATGCTTTTGATACCTCGGTTTTGGACTTTCTGCTGCTGTTCAACACGTAGTATTTATTGTTTGTTTCGGGCAAGGCGAGGTAAATCTTCATATATTGACAATTCTTATATACAGGTCTAATACACATACAATCCACTCGCATACAAATAAGTGCATTCCCACAGGCAACAGGTAAAAATGTATAGTTTTGTGTGCTTCATAATCGTCTCTTTTTTAGAATAGTGCGTGTATGAATGCAGTCATTAGTTGTATATTGTTCTATTTAGTATATGTGCGCATGTTTACATATATCTTTACATATACCTACGCATACATATATAGGGATGTAAAGACAAAAGAAACACACAAGCACATCAGAGAAAATGCAAACTTATCACATATAAAAAATATGTACTAAAACATTCTCACAAATTCATTTTCATGAATTTATGTTTATAAGTTAAGAGACGTATGCTTTGCCTTTTTAAAGCAAAAATCCTTAAAATCTATCCATTTTATTGAGAATAAATGTGTATTTATGACGAATGTGAACGTTAAGTAAGTTGGTGCACAAATAGAGACAAAGAGACACAGAATCGAGACAGAAATAACTCTGACGCGAAACATTACAGCGGGAGATAAACGCCCATCACTGGTGGCTTGACGTTTCGAAGATACGACGTCGTTTGCGGGTACAGTCAACCTCCGAGGCCACCAGTCGTGGTGCAAGCCCGAGGCCGGACACTGGCACCACAACCCGCCATGTGCGCCGTGGCGATCAGTGGCGACCAGACCCCAGCTGAGGCAACAGTTCGTCCATCGCTCGCGCCTGTGAGTGCTTGGCCTCTGTCGTTCATTCCTTAGAGGCAGATATTCATTCATGGTGTTCAGCATTTATGTATATGTATGTAATTACACCTATATAATATATGTATGTGTGTACAGAGTCGCAATAACGTATAAACGAAGACAAACAATCCTTGACACAATAGGATATCAAAATGAAAGTAACGTTTCGAACTTCCGGAAGTCCTCACGAGGAATCAAAATTTCCTTTCGTCTGATGAACGAAGGAGTTCGAAACTTTATGGTTGTTTTCAGTTTATATATATTATATATATATTATATACATAGATGTATGTACATGTGTTTATGTGTTTGTATGTACTTATGTATATATATGCACACATAGGCACACAGTACACGAATGTATACAACGTTTATATATATATATATATATATATATATATATATATATATATATATATATATATATATATATCACTAGCTATAGTATCACCCATTCCGGCCTTTGACATGTATACAAAACGAAAAAAGTGGAGAGATACATCAGATTCCCATCTTTATTTTCAGATACTGCCTGTCCTGTGCTGTCACTGCTCAAGATGATTTGCTCTCCGACGATGGCGATCAGGCTCTTGCTGGCTCTTGGATTCTGTTGCGCAGGTGGGATCAGGTGGTTTCTAGCGCACACACGCATGTAAGGATTCTCGAGTTTCAGAGAAGATAGATACAGATTTTGCAGATAGATAATGAGATCTTTGCATGGTGTCACGCGTAATAATTTCTTGCTTGGGCATGCTTCAACTCGCCAGGTCTTTTCCCTTTTTCGATGTTAAACATCCTTTTTGATTTTTTTTTCTGTGGACCGGATGGGAGGAAATTTTAAAAATCAGAATGAAACGGCGGAACAAAGCGCCAACCTCTGAAAATCACATAAAGTAAAAATAGAAGTAAACATTCTCTACATCCCATAGGCACATTATGCACCGAGAGACAAATCGATTCATGTGTATGGGGAAAGAGTTTATACCAATCAACACATTCACGCATAAGGACTTGCAATGCGTGGGCAATTAGACGCACACAGCACAAGCACACATTTTGCTCATTTTGAGGCTCTTTGATAATTTGTCACTTTTATCTTATTGCCTTAGTGACCGGTGCTTACTTCCCTACTAAATTTCTCTTCAGAAATATAATTTCGTTATCATCACTATTACATTTATTGCTAATATAATTTATATTTTCACTTGTTCAGTTAACAGCTTTTGTGATTATTGGTCGGTTCAGTGTGCCACAACAAGGCAATGTATCTCACGCGATGAGATCTGTGATGGTGCAAGAGACTGCGACGACAACTCCGACGAAGAAGTTTGTTCTGTAAGTGACTGTTGTACTTCCTGTGTTGAAATATGATTCATTGAAATATATGTCTTGCTGACAAGATAAAGCAAATAACACGACTGTTATATATATATATATATATATATATATATATATATATATATATATATATATATATATATATATATATATATATATATATATATATATATATATATATATATATATATATACACACACACACACACACACTTGTATATATACATACACATACTTGTTATATATATATTATATATATATATATATATATATATATATATATATATATATATATATGTATGTATATATATGTATATCATATAATGAGAATGAATTAAAATCGTTCTTTTAGGGAAAGCAGCTAAGAGTATATCCTACTACCACAACGACCACTACTACCACAACCACTACAACTACGAGTGAGTGAAATAATGAGTTAGATATATGACTATAGATATGTAATAAACAAAAACGAAAGCCATACATGAACATGCACTGAAATTTGCTTTTATAATTCGCACATATACGCAATATGAATATCACCATCCCTCCTAATAAATACAATATTGCTAATTATTATCATCACATTACAATCTTTACTTTACCAGCATGAAAACTTTTCAAGTCCGAGCTACCATACTTAATCCATAATGAAATGGAGATGTTCTATTAATATTTTTTGAATAAGGTACTGCAAACACATCAATCCCTCTAGTGACCTTATCTTGAGTTACAATATCCTTTGCAGCATGAACATAATTTGTAGAAAGGTATGAATTAGAATGGGTATCTTCACAATACAAGAGATTAAATACATCTCTTGTATTGTGACGCTATTCATCCTCATTCATACCTTTCTACATTTGTCATGAATACGGTTCATGAACATGGTTGTTTTATGAGGATAGGGGTCCGTGGGAAACAGGAAAGCGAAAGGCAAGGACGGGAATACCTCTCCCTAAGAATGTCTACATAATGAAAATTATTTTCACTTTCATGAACATTTGCGAATTCGGAATATTTTTTTTCATTTTGTGCTTTACAATATTAGGCTCCTTAATTAATCAATCTCATACATTTAGGCTGGTGTAGCATGACCTATAGTGAAAACTGAATGTCATGTAAAGCTTGATAATTGCGTGGAAAAACTTATTAAAGTAATCACCATGTTTTCAGCGACGCCCGCCCCACCCCCTCCCCGCCCAACAACGTGGAGAGAGCGAGGCTGGGTCAGAGGTTCGCTCGGACCTTCAACGACACGCTCCACCACCCGAGATGCCCCAAGCTCTACACCAGCGTCGGGAACAAGTGCCTCTCCCTCCTCTACTTCGTCAAGGTAAGGCGTCTGTTGGGACATTATTGTCTCAGACACTTTTTTTTTGTAGAACGTAGATCAGAGAACGTAGACAAACCGCGGAGTAAATTGGCACTGCAAATAAACGGGTACCAATATACCAAATACTTGGACATGGTCGTCACCGAATTTCGCGACCACCATGTGTCCTTCCTCACCTTCCTTCGCCGCCTTCTGTAGGTCGGGTGGGGGGAGGCAAGGGCCCTGTGCTCGGCCATCGGCGGGGAGCTGGTTGTCTATCCTTCGGCCTCCGACGGGGAGTTCGCTGCCCTCCTGAAGTACCTGCGGGAGATAGGTGAGTGCCTCGCTGTTTTGTTAATGGGACTTTATACTATGTACGTATGAAGTGATATAAATATGAAGACAAATCTTTCCCCTTGAAGTATACACGTATATCCGTATATATATATACATATGCACATATATATATATATATATATATATATATATATATATATATATATATATATACATATATATATTTTATATATATGTATGTATGTAAGTATATATATATATACATATACACATATACGTGTATGTATATATATATATATATATATATATATATATATATATATATATATATATATATATATATATATATATATATATATATATATATATATATATATATATATATATATATATATATATATATATATATATATATATATATATATATATATTTATGCATATATGTAATATATATATATATATATATATATATATATATATATATATATAGGCGTATATATACATATACACATATGTATAGATATTTATAGATACAGATATACGTATGTGTATATATATGTATATATATATATGCATACATACATACATATATATATATATATATATATATATATATATATATATATATATATATATATATATATATATATATGTGTGTGTGTGTGTGTGTGTGTGTGTGTGTGTGTGTGTGTGTGTGTGTGTGTTGTGTGTGTATGTTTAATTTTAAAAGCATATATATAATATTTATATATTTTGTCATATATACATTATACACAAGAATGCACACATATACACTAGTTTTCAGGTATTATATGTGTATTCACTCATTTATTCTCACTCCCAATCTATACATATACACAACTGAAAAAACTACGTCCAACTCTATCATCATATTTCGTGTTTATACACTTATATACACATACACATATAATCATATATATATATATATATATATATATATATATATATATATATATATATTTATATATATATTTATATATATAATTATATATATGTATATATTTACATATGTATATACACATATGCATGTGTATGCGTGTGTGTACATATGTGTATACAGCACACACACACACACACTCACAAATACATACACATAAAAAGACATATATACATATACGTGCATATGAATGTATGAATTTGTATATATGTATATATCTACATATATACATATTTATATATACATACATGCATATCTACAAATATGTGTGTCTCTTTGTATCTGTGTTTGAAAACAGTTTGCATGTACGGGTGTATGTATACCTGTACAGAGGTACACATACCATATGCCTATAGCTATAAATAACCATTATTCTGCCAGGGTAAGAAAATAATCCTTTCAACTACAACAGGGATGACGACGGACTTCTGGGTGGGAGGCCGGTACACGAAGGACACCGAGGCCTGGACGTGGCTGGACGACGCCCCGATGGACCTCGGCTCGCCCTACTGGGCCGTCAGGTGAGGCAGGGTCATTTGCTGGAGACTGGCAAGGATACACTTTTTAATGTTTTTTTTTTTCTGTAATGATATAAGACATTTTAAAGCGAAAGGTATATCCTCTAGATTGTTTATACCTTCACCTCGTGGATTCCTGAGGTCCAAGAATATTACTGCTTATCTCTAGCTTTTTCACGATTCTAAAGAAATGGGTAAATGGAAAGATATAGACAAACTCGCTATGATGTTAAAATGCAATACTTTGGCAAAATGGTTTCGTGTGAATGGCTCCTGTTTCGATATTTCAAAAAAAAAAAAAAAAAAAAAAAAAAAAAACTGTCTAAATCTCCTAAATCAGAAGTCATTTACTTTCGGCACTTCTACAAGGTGTCTTTCGAAAATTCATAGAGTTAAAGGCACGTAGATATAAATCAATGTAAACGCGGGTAAGTGAGCCCACGACTTCTTGTTAAACACTGCGGTGACGTTTCTTTCCCCCGCAGACACACCGACAGCTGCAGCAGCCGCCAGCAGGAGTCGGCGCCACACGCCAAGCCTGAAGACGTCGCCTACTGGACCAACACTTCGGCCTGCTACCACTACGAGCAGGCGCCGCGGCGCGACTCCCAGCAGCTCTGCGCCGCCGTCACCTTCCGCCACTACTTCTACATTAGCGACGAGGACTGCCTGGGCGTCAGGAGCCCTCTGTGTGAACATGTTCCCAGCACCGCTCATGACCTCACCCTCGCTGGCAGTCCGTGATCATTGTACTACTTCAAGACACCTTTTTCACCTCGTATATTGACCATGTATCACTTATGCTTTTAATTTTGACATATGTCTTGTGAAAACGGTTACTTGAATTTTTATTATATTATGGAGTAAGATACATTTGGAGAGTACGATTAACATGGATGTTATGAAACCATGTTTTATATTTACTGTATATTTAGTAATAGATTGTAGATGTAAGTACAAGTACATAAATAATTACCCACAAAAAAAAAAAAAAAATATATATATATATATATATATATATATATATATATATATATATATATATATGTGTGTGTGTGTGTGTGTGTGTGTGTGTGTGTGTGTGTGTGTGTGTGTGTGTGTGGTAGAAAAATCCACAAAGCAGAAACCTCCCTTCGCTTCCGTTCTTCTGTCCAGACCCGAAGATGGAATCGAGGTGGATTCCGAAACTGTTGTCTCACTTATATATACATATATGTATGTATATATATGTATTCATATTTATTTATGTATCCATATATCTATATATACACACATACACGCACACGCATATATGTGTATATATATGTATGTGTCCATATATATATATATATATATATTATATATATATTATATATATATATATATATATCGTCGACGTTCATTTGTTTTATAGGCTAAGACAATCGAGCGTCGGCTAGATGCGTACTTTTTAACACTTTTACGCTCGCTAGCTATCTTCTTGCAACCCTTCGTCGAGCTCACCGTTTTTTAAGTCTCTTCTGTAGAGCAAAGGGAAGATACGATATTGTTAAGTGTCTCTCATTGTCAGTATTCACATGCGCGAACACAGATTAAAAGTGCACGAACATTTCATTCTAGTGTGACAGGCCCTCCGAGCTATCTGAGGCGTCGACTTTTTCAGTGTCATGGCAAATCAACTGCCATGGGCGTTGAGGCAGAATGTCGATCGTGAATCTGAAACGCCTGTCCGATCAGAACCAGAGGGAAAAAAGGGTTACCAAGATGGATATTATATCTGTTTACATACACAATATCTGTGCCATCTGCTGGTGAATTAATAAACAAGCGTACATATGTTTTGATTAATTCCTTTGTACCTTTACTTATGCAAGCCTTTTGATGAAAGATTGGGAAATGCCCCTTCATTGATTAATTAGTATTGAATTATGAGGCTTTCACCATGGCCTAGCAACAGTATTCCAGTCAATAAGAGAATAATAAAAAAGAATAAGATGAAAGAAAAGAGAGCAAGAAATAAGGCCTTCTCGACACTCACGTCTCAAGAGAAAGGAAAGAACTGAGCTTTGGGAAATAAACTGCACTAGACACGTCTTTGATACAAAAATAACAAAGAAGTGAAGGTGGCAGATGGAGTATGAGGCTGACTGATCAGACTCCAAGCAGTTAGCGAAGGCCAGATGGAAGACCGAGAGATGGCACGGACTGCATACTAGTAGTCGTAGTAGTGGTGGTAGAAGTAGCAGTAGTTGGTCAAGGGATCTGTTTTGGCAACGGAACATGAAATGGAAGGATGGGAAGAAAACGTTGGTATAGAAAGGAAAGTGAGGCTAGGGTGGGAAGGAAACGTTGGTATAGAAAGGAAAGTGAGGGCTAGGGAGGAGAGGGAGGGATGGGAAGAAAACGTTGGCATAGAAAGGAAAGTGAGGGCTAGGGAGGAGAGGGAGGGATGGGAAGAAAACGTTGGTATAGAAAGGAAAGTGAGGGCTAGGGAGGAGAGGGAGGGATGGGAAGAACATGGAGGGCGGAAGGGAAGATGTTTTTGTGTCCGCATACACGTAGGCAGCTTACAGGCTCGCTCATAAGTTAACAGACACATACTAATGCATTATTGCATCTAATTTATTATCACTGGTACTACTATCATTGTCTCTGTAATTATTATAGCATTATGATTATCATATATAATCACTGTTATTATGATAATCATTGTTACTATCACTGATAATATCATCAATACTATCATTATCATCACAATCTGCTATTGTTATTATTGCTATAATCATTGGTATTCGTGTTATTGTTATTACCATTATTACTATAATTATCACCATGTTCTTTCTCTTTCACATATGTATCGTCCAATCATTCTTTGTTGAATTCATCGAGATATTTGAAATTATCTTGCGTTAATCGTTTTTGCTATTACCTTGATGATGTTGTTAAGAACTCAAGCAAATTCATCTATGTACTTATTTTCTCACTCACTTGCGCAAATTCAATGGGGATTGCTGTGTAGTGGTCGTAAGTTTTTAAAGACCGATTATATAATCGCACTAGACTCATGGTAATGACTTCTGGATTGCCTGTAAGCACTTTTTAATTCGCCTTCCGTTTTACCAGTTATGATAAGCATCTTGCACAATACTTTCTTATTTCTGTTCTGTGGCATTTTCTTTTTCTTTTGTTTCTATGTCGTGAGAAAACAACAACAATAAACTGTTTTGATTTCACACACATATGTATGTATCCTGTAATGTATAGCAGTTTGTACTACGCACTAGTCTATTTCTTTAAGGAGTTTTATTGGCGCAAGTTGGCTGACTGATATGGCCTGAGTTTCTGCTGCCCGGTGATGTGTGCTGGATAATAATGGTAATAATAGACAAGTAAAGAAGGCAAAGCAAGGGGAGGAAGGGGGAAGATAAGGTAAAGAGGAGGAGGTGGGAGACCTGAAGCAGGTGGGCGAAATCCTTGCATTAATTTCTTTCTTTATGTCTAGATCATAGTCATGGTAGCGGAAGGGCAAGCCAGGTGAACTCCAGCTAAGACTAATGAACAACAGACGAAAAGTCAACAGTTTTATTTTATCTATTCTTTATCTCGTTCTATCTCATCTTTATTCATATATCTCTTGAAATCTAAAAGTCTACATAACAGTGAATCAAAAATGAAGAAACGAGAAAAGTTTTTACTGATTTCTATTTTTTGAACATTTTTTTTCTTATTTGTCTTTAAGTGGATAAAACAATTAACTATTTCATTCTTTCATCTTATTAATCTATTTACTCCTTTATTATTATTACTATTTAACTAAGTGCGGGTAAAAGAAAAAAGGTCATAAATAGAATTGAACTTATAACGGATATTGAACGGAACGAAAACGTTACTATACAGTGGCAAAGAAGAGCAATTGGTGAAGGTGAGGCAGACAGGTGAGGTCCCTAGGTAAGAAATATAGGATTTTGAGCAAAGGACGAATCAAGTGGTAGATTGTGTTGTCTTTAGGGGCTGCTGAACGGCTGTGTCATCTCGGTCTGACGGATGCAAGGTGTGGGAGGGAGTCCAACGTGGAGCAGGTATAAAATAAGTACTGTTGATAGATTAGTTGCAAAGATGCATGTGTAACTGCGTGTCTGTGTGCTTGCAAGTAGGCCACGTGTATGCAGGCATAAGAACATCTTCCTTTTCTCCCTCTTCTATTTTCTTCCTAGCTCTCCACCTCCTCTCTAGTCCTCTCTTTCCTTCATATAACCTTTTATTCCCATCCCTCCCTTTTATGTTCCATTAAGTCACGAATGAATCACCCGCATTTCCTGTTTTTCCTTAATCGTTTTATATACTTTCATGAGAGCGAGAAAAAACAGTAAAAAGATTAAGGGATACGAAATAAGATAAACGTACACCTGTTTACCAACATACACAAATACAGATGACATGTATATTGCATATATACACACTCAGAGACGATACCTATCTTTGTCACCTTTTTTGCTTGGTTCTTATCGCATAGCCAGTGAGGACACCTGGGTTTATCATAAGGTTAAGGGCTCTCTAAAGCGTTAAGATTAGCACTGGAAATGGTTTAAATATGGGGCCCTTTTCTGTAACAAAGTGGCGTCAAAATCTCATAGCGGCGCGAGATAAAAGGAAGGAAATGTGGGTTAATGATAAGACAAACAAGCATCTGAGATTAAAGATCCTTCGACTTCCTGACTCACGATTCATGGCAGTTAATTTGTCGTACTCTAAAGCTCGGCGCTTTTGAGTCCTTGAGGCTTGTCGCCAGCATAATGTTACCGTGCACTTTCCGCAATGTACAACGTATTCTTGGCGCGCACCGTGGACTTCATAGAACAAGATCACGCGCGGTTAATCTGTATTCGCGCGGTGAACACTGACCAATCACAGTATTGCATTATCTTGCCTCCGCTCACCAGAAGAGAAAGAAGAAGGCCTCAAAAAAGCCGATGGACTCTACGAAGGTTTGCAAGAAAGCAACCGTCGACGCTATCTTCACACAACCTTTATTAGTAATCTATAACAAGCTATGTGCTTGGACTTGCTATTATAGTAAAATATATTAAGATAAAACCAAGAAATAATGGGCACCCGCTAGTTTGTACACATTTGTAGAAAATACATGATAGACTTGTTGAATCCGAAGAGTACACGATGTGCTCGAGAGGCCTTTTAAACTACATGAATGTTATTAGCCTAATTGATACCAATATTTCTTCCGAAACGGCGAACGCGCGCACTGACTAAACAACTACACATAGATTTTATAGGTTTATGCATATCTATCTGGCTATCTATATGCATATATTCTATATATATGCATATACATACAAACAAATATATTCATGTGTATATGAACACAGACATACACATACACATATATGAACATATATGTATATATATATTTATATATATATTATATATATATATGTATATATATGTGTGTGTGTGTATGTGTGTATGTGTTTGTGTGTGTTTGTGCTTGAGTGTGTGTGTATTGTATATATGTATACATACATTGTTTGAGTAATTATTAATGTATATTACTTGCATCCGCAATTATAGTATTTGTATCAATAATGCGTAACTAAATATGTAGTAAATACAAAACATGAAGTTTCATGACATCCAATTTAATTCTAATAGATCAAGGGCTATTTTGTATTAAGTGTACACTAGAATAAGTTCCTGTATAATCGGTTTCAAAAGATATTTGTCAAAATTAAAAGTTCATCTGATTCACGATCAAGATACGAGAAAGGCCCTCACACAACCACCTTTTTCATCAACTTTCACGTTTCCGGATGAACTTTCCGTATGGAAATGGACTGGCCCTGTCAGACTACCAAGGTCGCAAACATAGTGTTCCTTTTAACAAACATGGCGCCATCTGAGTCAGGTCCTGGGAATCACACGAGCATTTTCATACATATGTTAATTAAAGAAATATCATTATGTATTTAGAAACATGCTAGAATATCAACTTATGTATGCATTAACTTATTCTATCTAATTTATTAATATTCTTTTTTGTATGGATCGTAGCACAAGATCAAGACGAAAATTAGTCCGACGGAAACGGACTCCATCTGGGAGGAGTTCCGTTTGCAAATACATATGAATAGCCTCATACGGAAACGCAAAAATTGACGGTAGAGGTATAGTGTGATAGGGCCTTTATTTAAAGGTTTCTTGAAATACATGAAAACATCGCTTTCTGATCAGATTCTGTCCCTGAAAGCAACCGGCGCTCACGGACTGCCAGCGAGCGTGAGGTCATGAGCGGTGCTGGGAACATGTTCACACAGAGGGCTCCTGACGCCCAGGCAGTCCTCGTCGCTAATGTAGAAGTAGTGGCGGAAGGTGACGGCGGCGCAGAGCTGCTGGGAGTCGCGCCGCGGCGCCTGCTCGTAGTGGTAGCAGGCCGAAGTGTTGGTCCAGTAGGCGACGTCTTCAGGCTTGGCGTGTGGCGCCGACTCCTGCTGGCGGCTGCTGCAGCTGTTGGTGTGTCTGACGGGGAAAGAAACGCCACTGTAGTGTGCAATAAAATGAGGTAGGTTCACTTACCCTCATTTTCATTTATTCACATTTGCGCACATTTAACTCTATGAATTTCAGAAATTTGTTCTTTGATGACGTGTAAGACGTTCATTACTATTGTATTTGGAAATTCAATTTCTTAAAAAAAAAGAAAAAGAAGAAGAAAAAAAATCTGGAAATCGTCTCATGTAACGCAGAAATCAAAATCTACATATTTTCTATTCTAGTCATTGCTGACAGCCGAAAATAAAGGACCAATGTTCTTAGCGATCGAGTAAATAAATCAATTGCTACAAAATATCTTATAAGGGAAGAGGAAAGAAAGAATTTTCGCACGGTCATGTACATGTATATGTGTACGTGTATGCGCGTATATGCGGAAGATAAAACGTGATTGATGAACTGATATAAATAACGGCGGAGAAACCTGGAAAGCCCAGTGACCTCCAGCAACTGTGAAGGTGACCCTGCCTCACCTGACGCCCAGTAGGGCGAGCCGAGGTCCATCGGGGCGTCGTCCAGCCACGTCCAGGCCTCGGTGTCCTTCGTGTACCGGCCTCCCACCCAGAAGTCCGTCGTCATCTCTGTTGTAGTCGAAAGGATTATGTAAGGTGATTTAGTCGGTCACCTCATAGCTACATTCACACCTTAGACATACACATAAAAGACATATATATATATATGTATATATATATATATATATATATATATATATATATATTTATATATATATATATGTCTACATACGTAAATATATAAACATATGTATTGGAGTGTGTGTGTATATAGGTATATGTATATGTGTATAGGTAGACATATATGTATATAAGTGTAAGAGTATATGTACTGTATGATAAAGTTTATGTACTTTATGTATACATGTCATAATTTACTTAATGGTTATAACTTTATAGTCTAGTAATTTTTTCTTGTTAATTTATATTTCCATTTCATCTTTAAGTACAGTTCTCTTCAGATGTTTAATAATTTTGATTAATACAAGCTGAAATATGATTTTTTAAAACTTGTGGTATAAATCTATACAATAACTTTTCATAAACCATTGCAATTTTATTACCTCTATATATAATGTATAAGCTTTTCATACTAATGATTTGTACCTCAATTTCATACAGCTAATTTTTGTCATCACTGAAGATGGGTATTGAACACTCGAAACGTATGATTTGTGAAAAATTCTTGAGTCTGTTAATTGAAGATAGCAGTTTTAGTTGAAGAAGAAAATATTTATTTTCCTCCTCACACTGGTTGTGAGGTTCATTATACAAATTTATATATATACATACACACACACACACACACACACATATATATATAACATAAATATACATATGTATAAATACAAATATATATAAATATGAATATATATATATAAACAAATATATAAATATTAATATATATATATATATATATATATATATATATATATATATATATATATTATATATATATATATATATATATATAATCTCACACATTCATGTGCATGTGTTGAAGGAGGGAAGATTTGCGTTCACATTCTATACGCTTCATTCATACAGTGAAGAGTCACATGGACGAAGTAGCGAGGCACTCACGTATCTCCCGCAGGTACTTCAGGAGGGCAGCGAACTCCCCGTCGGAGGCCGAAGGATAGACAACCAGCTCCCCGCCGATGGCCGAGCACAGGGACCTTGCCTCCCCCCACCCGACCTAGAGAAGGCAGCGAAGGAAGGTGAGGAAGGATACAAAGGCCGAAAAAAATCGGTTTCTTATCAGAACTTTTTCAAAATTCAAATGAGGCACCCATTTTTTTTCTTGTTGCATCAAGGCAAAACAAGTTTACTTTTTATTGGCAATATCGATAAAATGGACAACACTGCATGTGCAAAATTGTAGTTTTTAATCAAAAAGATAATTGGTGGATACATTGTGCATTTGAGGTTTTTTGCTAGTCTTACAGCTCGAACACAGATTCCATCATTGGAAACTCCTCAGGGTAGCAATCGCTGGTGCCATAAGTACATAAGTACATATTTTCTATTTTAGTGATGAACAAAGATAAAAAGGTAAATTGAAACGTGTTGCAGTTTGGACAGATAAACTTATAGGGCTCTAAGTGGCAGCCATTTTGATTGTTTACAAACGGGCCGCGAGGCGAAGCGAACTACTTCCAACTCTCACGCTGTTCGCTATGCAATGGTTCTGAAACGTTTTGTCAGGTCGGCCTTTTACTTAATCTTGCCGCGCAATGCATGATGCATTTAACCTGAGTGAATGTAAAGACAGTTTGTGAACGGCAGGCTCATCTGGCGCATTTTCGTAGAACATTTAGGAAATAATTATGAAAAAATCGACGCGACAGCGATTTTCAGATGCGGGCGCTGATGAGAAATCGGAATTTTTTTCTTTTTTAATAGGCTTAATGGTTGTGAGCGATTATGACTAATTATATATGTATGCAGGTACCCCAGCTGGTAAATTATATTTTCACAATGCCAATTTACTCCGTATTTTGCCTACTGTCTCTCTGATGCTAGATCTATTAGTAGGACGTTTCATAAAACTGGAAGCAAAATTCTCATTTCTTCTATAAAGCCGCAATACTGGGTCCACAAAAGACAAAAAACAAAAACAAATCACGATTGAACAACAATAGAAAAAAAAAAAAAATGCGTCTGAGACAATAATGTACCCAGCACACTACCTTGACGAAGTAGAGGAGGGAGAGGCACTTGTTCCCGACGCTGGTGTAGAGCTTGGGGCATCTCGGGTGGTGGAGCGTGTCGTTGAAGGTCCGAGCGAACCTCTGACCCAGCGCCTCGCTCTCCTCCACGTTGTTGGGGGGGGGGGGGGTGGGGGCGGGCGTCGCTGAAAGCATAGAGTGATTACTTTAATTACCTTTTTCCACCTGTTTGATATTCATTTTTATTGTTTTTGAGAGGGATGTTAATGTTATTCATTAATTTAAAAGTAATTCTGATATTAGAATGCATGTTTATGTATGTTTTTTGTTTTTAGTTAATTACCAAATTCTACAGTTGTATATATAATTCAATATTTTACCAGTTGTTGTTGCGGTTGTGGCAGTAGTGGTCGTTGTGGTAGCACTAAATATTCTTAACTTGCCTCCCTGAAAGAACGGCTTAAAATTCATTTCTCATTTTAAAATTTTCTCTGGCAGGTTTGCGGTTTTCCTTTATCTACTCAGCAGACCATATGTTTCAACTATTCATATATTTAAGGGAAACTCAAGAAGTACTTACATTACAGATGTCTTCGTCCGAGTTGTCTTCGCAGTGTCTAACACCATCACAGATCGCTCCACGCCGAATGCAGCGCGTTTCTGAGGCACACTGAATCCCATTAAGGCAAATCGAAACTGAACAGATGGTAATGATAATGAAAATGATTATAGCAGCAACTGTAATACTGATGATGATAACGGGAATAATAAAAGGTTTAACAACATACCACAGAAATTTAGTATAGGAAATGAGCAACGGTCACTATGTTAAAGAAATATAGGTGAATGTCCAGTCCACTACAGATCCTTTTGCGTGAATGCGTACATGTGTTGATTGATATGCACTCTCCTAATATACACAAGTGAAATGAATTATCTCTCGGCGTTTCATGTACGTCACTGATTGTGCCGTTTCATTCTGGATTCCGAAATTTCCCCCCGTCCTTTCTATTTATGTAAGAAAATAAAATTCTTTCTTAGGATCTTAGAATCAAGGGTTCGAGCGCATTTTAAGAAGTCTTAAAATGTCTATAAAAAAATAAGGCCTTACAAAGTTTTAAAAACGAAGCTTTTTCAGACGGCGGTCTTAAAATGTCTTAAATTTGCCCAGGGTATATTTTTGTTCACTTGTACATATGTCTGTTACAGGCGGACACCGTCGCAGTCTCTGCTGATCGACTTATGGGTCGTGGGAAGAAAAAGGTAAATCATTTATCGTGGTCACTGACGCGACAAGTAGGCCTACACTTCATTGGGAAGTGTGTATTTAGAGACAAGTGGCTTCAGGTCTTCAAAAGCAATTGGTATGAATCTTAAAATGGCTTTAAAAGATCTCAAATTCCATCTGCTTATACCTGCAAGAAGCCTGTCTACCTTCCGAAACAGTGAAACTCCAGATGACTTGAAACATGTCCAAGCAAGAATTTATTTTTCATAACACCATGTAAAGATCTCTCACTATCTATCACCAAAATCTATAATCATTTTTTTTAACAACCAGAATCATTACATGCGTGTGCGCGTCAGAAACCACCTGTTTCCACCTGCACAACTGGCGAGTCCAGGCAACAGCAAGACCGCCATCATCTTGATAAGCATTGCCGCCACAGAACACAGTATCTGAAAAAGAAGATCGGACTTTCGAGTACCTGTCTACTCTTCATTTTGTCTAGTTCATTTGTTCAAAGAGCGAAATGGGTGATGTATATATGCGTATCATATGTATGTATGTAATTGTGTATAAGTGTATTTACCTACACACATGTGTGTGTATGTGTGTGTGTGTGTGTGTGTGTGTGTGTATGTGTCTGTGCACAAGCACACCCACATATATATGTGAATACATGCATGCATACACAAAGATAAAAGGAAACCGTCATAATATGAACTGAGGACGAACGTAAAGTTTCGAACTCGTTTGAATCTCCAATTAAGACGAGGTAAAAACCCGAAATATGTTATTGCTGTCTGATGAGGAATACCACACGAGTTGGAAACGTTACATTCATTTAAGTTTCCTATTGTAGCAAGGTTTCCTCGTCTTCGTGTATATATAGACATACATATATACACATACGTACACCTATTTATGTATATATACATGTTTTTTGTATATTTAGTTACATATATATGTAGTAACAAGAATACCCACGTTATTGAGACTATTCATACATACATACATTCATATATATATATATATATATATATAATATATATATAATATATATATATATATATATATATATATATATATAGTGTGTGTGTGTGTGTGTGTGTGTGTGTGTGGTGTGTGTGTATTCCAAAAGTCTCTCATGCCATAGACTTTCTTGTTTAATGTTTCTGATTTATGTGGCATCAAGAACTCCCAGAATGAATATCTGCCTCTAAGGAATGAACGACAGAGGCCAAGCACTCACAGGCGCGAGCGATGGACGAACTGTTGCCTCAGCTGGGGTCTGGTCGCCACTGATCGCCACGGCGCACATGGCGGGTTGTGGTGCCAGTGTCCGGCCTCGGGCTTGCACCACGACTGGTGGCCTCGGAGGTTGACTGTACCCGCAAACGACGTCGTATCTTCGAAACGTCAAGCCACCAGTGATGGGCGTTTATCTCCCGCTGTAATGTTTCGCGTCAGAGCTATTTCTGTCTCGATTCTGTGTCTCTTTGTCTCTAATTGCACATCTGCTAGTTTAACTTTCACATCCGTCCTATAAACTCCTATATGCATAAATGGACAGTATATTGGAAGGATAGGGTTAGTTCCATTAAAGAAAGTAGAAAGAACAAACACGTCTATAAATAAGTAAACAGACATACAAATGAATAGACATATTTGTAAGTGCTCGTAGTATCGTGTGTACTCTTGGCCCCAACCCAAAGAACATTCATTATACGGACATGCATATACACAGAAATAA